AAGCATCAGGGCCTGTGTGGGCTCATTAGAAGTCCTACAAGGCACAAACCACAGGGGCTGCCCACGTGCCGGACCCGCTAGGCCTTCCTCCTTAGCGCCCAGAGTCAACTCCAAGTACGATCAAGGAAGGGGCTGGCCCGCGTGGGCTCCAGGGCGGAGAATGGAGGGGAGAGGCCAGGTGGATGGACCGAAGCCTTCAGGCTCGGAGGTCAGAGGGCTGTGGGAGGGGACAGAGTGGAAGGAGTGAGACTGATTCCAGATTTGGGTTGACGCCGCTGGGTTGGCGTCACATGGGGTTGGGCTGGCACATGGGGCTGCAGTTCAAGTTGAAGCCCTGGGGCGGCAGCAGATGTGGGAGAGTTCGCCTTGGTGGAGTGGGGTTTGACCTGACAGCACGGGGGCGTGTCCTACAGGGAGTCCAGGGTCTGGGGGTGAGAGCGCCAAGGAGTGGCCCATCCCCCCAGCATGTCCCCCTTCACCCGTCCCTGTGTCTGGTCTTTGCAGAAGCCCAAGTCCTCCTGGGCCCCTGGCGCGACCCACAAGCTCCGCCTCACCTGCTCCCTGTCGCCGTGGGTAACAGAAGCTGCGATGGCTGGCGGCTTCAAACGCTGGCAGCCGCCCAGCCACACGCTGAGCAGCATCACGGGTGCTCCCTCGTCGGCCTGGGCACTGCCCCCGGGCTGCAGACCAGGCGCACCCTGGGAGCCTCCTCTGCCACCCCGCAGGAGGCTCTCGGCGGGCAGACAGCGGCCAGGCCTCCCACCGGGACGGCAGTCTGACAGGCCACAGCTCTGACCCAGAGCTCCCGGGACTGCTGGGACCTCGGGCACCGTCTGTGGACACGGCTCGGAGGACAGTTTCCTCGCTGCTGATTACGGCACCTCCTTTGCTACAGCCTCCACTACTGGGCACGAGGGATATGCCGTCCCGGGAAGACTGCGAAGAATTCAGAACGTCTGTCTGTCCGTGGACGCGGCAACAAGAGCCCTGCGCCCGGAGACCTGGGAGTGACTTTCTGGAACGGATTCAAGGTATCTGCGCTCAGGGGGGTGGGCGCCGTCAGGCGCTGCCAACAAAACCCGGGTCAATTATCGAGCCGTAATGGCCTAAATTAATGCCACATGACGGGATGTTCAGGCTGCTTAACATGCAGCAGGTTTTAAAGGGACCTGACAGAGCTTGGGCCTGTTTTCTTTTGAGAGAAGGGTTGTGCAGAGGCTGCTGCAGGGACCTCGTCACAGGTCCCCACTCCTCTCCGCGGGGACAAGGTGCGACGCAGAAGCAGGATGCTGAAGACTCCGGCTTCCAGACCTGCCCCGCGCACCCACTTGGAGGCAGCGGTCACCCTCACCTGGGACCTGGTGGGCGAAGCTCTTCTGCCCGGACACTTCGCCCCCTCCCTCTCCTCACGCCCACAAAGGCCCCAGGGTTCAGTGCGTGCGCAGGACGAAGAGGGACCAGAACGTGAGCTCTGATCTGGGTTCAGTGAAATCGTGGACGCCCCGTGTCCGCAAGGCCTGCGGGCTCTTTGCTCAGGGCTCACTCAGCAGCAGGGCACGGCCAGCAGGACCTGCCCCGCCTCCAGGCCGCAGCCTGGGTGGGTCCCGTGAGCACTGGGGGTGAGGTTGTCTGTCTACAAGTGGAAGGAAAGACTTTGCAGGCGGTTAAAGGGGTTTCTTGCAAGATGACAATAAAACTCCAATCACGGATGCAAACTCAGTGCCTCCAGGTAAAGAACAGGTCTCTAAACGATGGACCCTGGAGGTGAAGGGGCCTCTCATTGGTGAGCCAGGGATCCCACGCTCAGAAGAGTCCCCAAGCCGGTTAGAGCCTCTCTGGCCCCGGGGCGGCAGCAGCCGTCCTCCACTCGGAGACTCCGTTCCACAGAGTCCGAAACACGTAGAAACCAAACCAAACCAGCCAGCCTCTCGAGGCTGGGATGGAAGAGTGTTTCTTCTGAATTGCAGTTCGTCACCCGCATTTCTGCTTCCCTGTAAACTCTGAGGTTTTCCTAGTGCAGTTATCATCACACAGAGAAACAAACCAACCTTTATTTTTTTAAGTTGAATTTTGGAAAAATTCCAAATCATAGATGCATTTTTTTTTCTGTGGCTTTAGTCATCAGTCAACTCACCTGTCACTGCCATGCAGACCCGAGTCTCTGGGCTCAGAGACGAGTCCAGGGCTTGTGAGGCTGCTGCCCGGGAGGGCGGGACCTCTGTGGCTGCTTTTCATTGGCTGGCACCGTGAGACAGAGCCTTCGTGTCTGGGGTCTTCTTCCCTGATTCCTGCTCATTTCTACTGACTCACGAGTTGGGTCGAAACACTCCCTCCCAATGAACGGCAGTGCCCCCGGCCCCTCCCTGCAGCTACTGCTCTGCTCGGAGACTCCGCCTGCCTCCTGTTTGTTTGGTTTTAATCCTCACCCCGGGATATCTCCATTGACTTTGGGGGAGGGAGAAACATAGATCAGTTGCCCCGACCTGGGATTGAACCTGCAACCTCCTGGTGTATGGGACGCTGCTCCAACCAACCGAGACCCTCAGCCAGGGCTGCTCTGACAGCAGAAAATCGTCTGAGGAGCTAGGAAAACATGAACACCTGTGGAAGGTCGACTGCGCACTGAAATGCAAAGGTAACCTTCCGCCCCGGACACGCAGCGCTGGCTCGCTGTCCCGTGGGAGAGGCAGGTGCAGCGTGGAGCCCTCGGGCCGGACTCTGGACCGCCCTGCACCTGCCTTTCTTTCCTGAGCTGCTGTGGAACAGGCCCAGCACAGCTGCCCCCAAAGTCAGGCCGGTGTTTTCAGTTCATCCACTTCTGTAATTCTGTTGGTTTCCCCTCGGCCCCAAACTTCCGCCCGAGGGTGAGGGAGGCCAGGGCAGTCTGCGGTTGCAGGGGGTCCCTGCTGCGTTGTGCCCCTTCCCTCCTGGCGACTCCTCATCGCCCCAGCAGGGCCAGGCCTCCAGGCTGACACACCTGACTCAGCCATTCAGTCTGGCTCCACTTGACTCAAACGAACACACTCCACCGAGGGGCCGGCCATCTGGCCACACTCTCAGGAACCAAGGGGCACGCTGATGGGCTCTAGTCCTGATTCTACTTTCTGCTTCCCAGGAAAACCCTAGCAGGCGAGGCGGCGGGCCACAAGAAAGAGGCAGCCTGACACCCGGGCGGCTAAAATCCCTAGAGGAACCCCATGCCCCCGGCCTCACAGGTCTCCCCTGCCTTCAGTCCGGCAGCGATGCCATCACTGCAGAAAACACTTCTGTGTCTGTGTCGTCAGGGGTGACTGGTCTGGACCCACAGGTGAAGCGAGGGGCCCAGCCAGGTCGACTGAGCCTGTCGCCAGAGCAGGTCTCCAACCTGAGAGTTCCCAGTGGCCCCCGGCGCCATCTGCGAGGGGGCTCCTGAAGCCCCTCCGGATTGCCCCCCTCCGGATTGCCACCCTCCAGGGCCTCCCCTGGTTGCACGTTCCTCTGCACCAGCCTGATCCTCCCGTTTGCCTCAGCCTCCTTCCCTGGACTTCATCTGCTTTCGGACCTGTCCCTGAAACTAGAAGAACGCCCATAATGAACGGTTATTCGGAAGTTGCCGGGCCTGTGTGTGCAGACCCACGAGGTGGGTGGGCGTTTCCTGACTGGAGAGAAAGGTGAGTTCCCCGGGTGGTTTTTCTCCGGATGCCTGTGCACGCGCCAGGCCGCTTCTGGTGAAATATAAACACACAACTCAGACGTGGAGAACCACGTTCCCCTGAAGGCAGGAAAGCGCCGCGGTTCGGTTCTCGGCCCCGCGCTGAGTCCTCGACGGTGTCGCTCCATCAGAACCTGCAAGCTTCCCTCCGACCAGCGCTGCAGCCGGCCAGGCCGCGCCGGGGAGCCCGTGGCGGGGCGTCCGCGCCCCCTGCAGGCCGTAGGGGCAACGCACGCTGCGCGGAAGCGGAGTCAAGAGCCCCCAGAACTAGGGGATCACGCCGTGCTGGAGGCCATCCACTCGGACCTGGGGCCGCTGCCGTGTCCCTGTGGACACTGACCACCCCACCCCCGCCCTGTCCCCGGGGAGGGCGGCAGGGAGCGCGTGTGCAGCCGCCCGCCTCCGTCCTCCCGGGTGCTGTGCGGTGAGCACGCAGACACCGCGTGGTCCTGGGGCGTCTCCGGCTGAGCGCTGAGTCGGACCCAGCCTGGCTCGGCTGACGTTCTTCCCACGGAAAGGCCGGTCCTGTTCCAGACGCGCCTGAGTGAATCTCGGGGAACCGGGGGAGCAGAATTGAAAGCCCCAGGCTCCTGCAGACGGGCCTCGGGCGCACAAGGGTCAGAGCCGCCCGTGGGGGCGTGGCTCAGGCAGCGCCCCAAGGACCTGGGACCCTGCGGTGGAACACCCGTGGCGGCCCCTCTCAGTTTCCTGGTGACTCCGCTCAGGATGAGACCCCAGGGAGCCAACGGCTCACCTGCGGGTCACAGGCCCTGCGACCCGAGCCACTGACCGCTGCGAAAGGAAATGAAATGTGATGGAGGCTGAACGTTCGCTGCAAAAGTTAAGACAAAATCCCACAAATGTCTACTCAACATATTTCAAAAACGTGAACTTTCATATTACACACCAAGTATATGTTGAGGGATTCTTGAATAAACTTTTACAGTCAAAATAAAAATTGTCTGAATTTACTATTTAATGTTGCAACTTTTACTGTTAAGTGCGTAACTTCAACACTCGAAACTAATTTTATACGCTGAGTTTATTATTGAGTTAATTACACCAGTTCCTGTTCCAAAAATATCACACACACAGGACACAAAAAGACCTGTTGTGTTTTTACACTGAAGTCATTTAACTTCAAATTCATGGGATCGCACTAACATCACCACAAAGCTGATTCAGCGAGACGGACGGCCTGTATTCAGAGGTCCAAGTGCTTCTGGGACAGAGAAAACACACTTGCCCACACCCCAGTACCCCCGTCGACCACCCCAAACGTCTGGAGCTGCCTGGACCAGACCCCACCCCCCTGGGGCACAGGCTCAGTCCCTGGGGGTGGACGACCCCTCCGCTCCTGGAGCTGACCTGTGACGTGCTCGTGCCTTCAAAGCCGTCACACTCAAGCAGCCTGAACGAGCAGGAAGGCACACGCAGGCTGTGCGGCAGGGTCCGCTCCACACGGGACGCTCTGTCATTGTTCACGTTCCACACGAAAGTTTAACACATTGCTAAGGGACTGGAGAGCATTTCAGGTTAAAAGCTCCAGGTTTTTCTACAAGACTCTAAGTCACTTCTAAAAAGTAATGTTAAACCAGCAGGAACTCTGCCAAGAGTTCACAATTGTCTATAAAAACGTTGAACTATCCGGCCCTGGCTGGTGTGGCTCAGTGGACTGAGCCGGCCTCCAAAGCACAGGGTCACTGGTTTGATTCCCACACAGGGCACAGGCCTGGGTTGTGGGCCAGGTCCCCAGTTGGGGGTGTGTGAGAGGCAATTGATGTTCCTCTCCCTCTCCTTCTCCCTCCCCCTCTAAAAATTAATGAAATCTTTTTAAAAAGCAAGAAAAACATTATCTGACCTTCAGGATCTAATTTTAATCTATCAGGGTGTCAGCTACTGAATATAAATGTTCATAAGCACATTTTTTTCCTTTTTGAAATTTGAAGACTATGTTTCACTTAGGGAGAACCATCTAGTCACAATTAAAACAACTGATCATTTTTTCAAACCAAAATCAAGAGCCGACAGCCTTTCTTTATTGATCACCATGTTTTTTAAAGTGTGGACGACCCTCAGCTGTCACCGTCAAGCTGGGGTTGCAGCTTGGCAGGAACAAGACCGACTGTCTGTCCGTGCTGCTGGCATTGGAACGGGCACTCTGTGTGCCCGCTCACCTGTCCCCACACCACTGGTGCCATCACTCCCGTGACCCACAAAAAGCACTGCCACCAAGACTCAGGAAGGAACGTCCTCGATCTGTGCGTCAGGAGCAGCGTGTGAAATGGCTGGAGGCTGGGGGTGCCTTGGGCTGTGTGTCCTGGAGAATAAACTCCAAGTGCTGCTCCGCTCGTCCCGTGGGACCGGGACTCGACGGCTTGTCACTGCAGCGCAGCTTTTTGTGATCGCAAATCCACTGGTTTATGACACAAGGGACGCTGTTCAGAGGGGGCCCCTGGTGTTGCTAAGCACCCAGGGGCTCAGCCATCAACAGCACCACTGGGACTCCCCCACAAGAGCACATCAGGGAACAGCTGTGCCATATACACAGACCCCTGGGGCCTGTGAGGACTCAGTGAGGGTCTGGCCTGACCCTGGGCCACAGCGCCAGCTGTGCCGCACTCCTCTCCACGGGTGGGGAAAGCCCCTCGGTGACCCAGGAAGGAAAGCACCCTGCCCACCAGCACCAACGCTGCAGACACAGGGCCTCTCACTGTGCGCTGCAGCTGGGTGCCAGCTCTCGGCCGGCTAAGTGACTCTTCGAAGAACCAGCTCCAGAAAGGTCCCCCTCGGCTCTGAGTGGGTTCGTTCCGGAGCAGCCGTGCGGCTCGCCCGTCACTGGTTCAGGGCATGGCGTGCCCGCACTGGCCGACCCAGACAGCATCCTGGGTGCTACTGCTTGTGGGATGTTGTCACCGAACATCGTGCCTCCTGCAGTGACCCCGAGCTACATGAACGACTGGAAGGACGGCCTGAGTCTCCAAGCGCAGCCTGCCACACACCAGACAGACTCGCAGCGAAAGGTCCTCTTTGCAAACCGCAGGCGGCTGCTGGGAAGGGCACCGCACCCGCCTGCACCTCAGTTCCCCAAACGGTGCGGCGGCGGGAAGTCTCCCAGGGAAGCGGAGCGACTGCGCTGTTACTGCGCCTTTCTTCTCCTTCTCCTGTCTTTTGCCTTCTCTTGTAAGTTCTTCAGGTCGGTCATCACGTTCAAAGTCTTGCGTACCCACATAATCTAAAAACAACCATTTTAAGAGTGTTTAAATCGGGAAAGATCACACAGAGAGGGAGAAGGCGGGCCCCCGCAGTCTGCCACACACGCACCACGATGACCACGGCGTTGAGGAGCAGCGGCACCGAGAACACCACCGAAATGAACATCCCCCTCGAATCGAAATACTGGTATTTTGAAAATGACCTGTTTCAAGAAAAATTTAAAAATTAATCAGTGAATGTCCCTGAAAACATTCCGTTTTCAGTGATATTCTCTAGTCACTGTCGGGCTCCGGCAAAGTCTTAGGTCAAGGAGTGCAGCACCCACCACCCGCCAGCTGCCCTCGCCCTCGTCTGCCAGAGCGCAGACTGAACACCCACTGGGAGGGGGTGCAGCCGGTCCCTGGTGACGACCACAGGGCCACCCACACAGGGAGGTGACGGGGAAGCACCAGGAAGTGGGGGTGGGGCGGTTCTGAAGCAGAGCAAAGACTGGTTCCTGAGCTGCTGTGTGAGCAGCAAATCAGACATCGACCGAAACATGCTCTGGACTGGCAGGTGCCCTGGGTGAGGAATTCGGGTGCAGCTGGGAGCAGAGGGGGCTCCTGGGGGGGCTGAAGCCCAACACTGACACGGTGGTCCGGTGGCCCAGGGAGGGCAGAAGGGCCTCGGCACACCCTCCACTCGACCGCGCGCGCCCGGCGCCGTCACACCCGTCCTATTCCGCAGCTGAAGCCACTCTGAACGAGCCCCTGCCCCTCTCGCGTCCCTCCGTGTTCAGCCGGGATGGCTCGGCAACACAGACGGAGCCACGTCTCCGCCGGAGCCGAGAGCAGGCTCACCTCCAGTTCATGGCGGCTGCTTCATTGATGTATTCAGCACAGTAGACCAACGTCACTACAAAGGAAGAAGCGTTAGGACTGAGGCGACAGATCACTGCGGAAATATGCTTCACAGGTGCTTATTTAATGCAAACACAATAAGAAAGCAAGTTTGAGGAGAACTGTAACTTCTACTTTAGATACAGCACGAGGTAAAAATGACAAAGCTGTAAGGCTACAGTTAACAGAAAGGAAAGCGAGGCCAACACGGTCATAGTCTGTGTGGCCTCAGTGAGACCACAGGAGGCTCCCAGAGCCCAGACCTTCTGACTGAGGACCAGGGGCTCGCTCGCCATCCTGCTGAACACACATGGCCAGGTTCGGGTCAGGCCCGCATGACACTGCACAGCCCAGTCCTTGCCTCTCGGGTTCCCGGTTCCAATATCAGCGGCCGCTGCTGGGCCCCTCCCTGGGAAGGCAGCGCTCAGGAGATTCCTTTCAAGCCCTGGTCCACAGTTTACTTTGTGATTAATTCCCAAGAGTGGAACCGGAGCGAACCAGACACTCGCAGTGGAGTGTGGGACAGAGGGTCGGGTCTCCAGACTCCATTCCACACTGAGAAGGCACACAGCCCGCACCGCACAGGAGGCCCACGCTCTCTACTCACCGAGGCACAGGAAGTGCCCGACCTGCAGCCGGTAGCTCCGGGAGGAGACACAGGTGAGCAGCAGGCAGAGCACATGGAAGGCGGCCAGGCCCAGGAGCCAGGGCTCAGTCCAGTCGGTCTGCTGTGGGGCACACCACCGGGCACTCATCAGCATCCACCACCCCGGGGCCGGCCACACCTCCCCTGAGTCAGTGAGGACTCCGGGGCTCCCCGCTCCCAAGTACTTGCTTCTGGGGCTCCTGAGCAAGGTATCCAAAACAGTGGAGGGGGAAGGGGGAAGAGGGGGGAGGAGAGGGCAAGAGAGGGTCCCTCCATGGCAGCCAGAGCCAGGGATCTGAAGAGAACTCCCGGTTTAACGGTTTAACGTTGGAGCACAGGCGAGGGCCTCACCAACGTGTCCCTCGAGTGTGAGGAGCAGTCACACTTCTAAGCTGGGCACCAGCGAAGGGCCACCTTCCCACAAAGAGAGGAGGAAGTGAAGTGGTTTGTTCAGCAGATGCACTTGGTTACTCCTGCTTAAAGCTGCTTTTCCAAGCTCCTTTCCCCAGGACTCAAGACCTTGGGAAACTAAGTCATCACAATAAGCAAGACGTTATTTTCTCCAAATTCCGCCTGCAGCACCTGCTATCGCAGGTCCCTTCAATGCTATGGGTGGGAGTGTCTGCACCCCACGCTTAGGAACCGGCTGGTGCTCAGGATCCCACCACACTCAGATCCATCCCCTACCATGCTCCCACGCACACCATGCCCCTCCCCTTCCTCCAGCTCCCCACCAGGCCGGAGGGGCCTCAGAGTCCAAGGGCCCCAGGCCTAAGTGCAGCCACGTTCCGGCGCGGCCCGCACCGCAGGGCCGCGCACTGCGGACCTGCAGCCTGGGCAGGCGAGCTGGACAAGGGTTACATCCATCAACGCGCACAACAAGCCACTCAGAGAAGCTGGGGTAGCCGCAGCACTGTACCACTGCGCCCACTTCCTGGTCCCGCCCCGTGGCATCCCCGCCCCGCCCCACCGCCCAAGCCCCGCCCCGGAAGCACGGCCCGCACCCTCCAAGCCCCGCCCAAAGGAGCCCCTCCCCCAGCTCCCAGGCCCCGCTCCCGGAAGCTCCCCAATCACTGCCCAGGCCCCACTACACGCCCGGGTCTCGCCTCCAAGGCTCCGACCGGGGTCGCAGCGTCCCTGGAAGACGCAGGGAAGCCCAGGGAGGCCCCAATCGCCAGCACAGAGGTGGCCGCCAACTTACCATGATTACGGAGGGAATGCTGACGGGGAAAGAGGTGACTGAGAAAGCGGACGGCATTGTGCCCGGAAAAGCTGCTCTGACCACCACCGTCTAGTCTGCCCCACCGGATACCGGCAGCCTGGTCTCCGCGGTCGCCTCTCACCCGATCTCTTGTGTCGCGAGATTTGCGTTGGTGGAAGTGGGCGGGTTATCCTGGGAACTCGAACGGAAGGCACATCTCGCGATATTGAGTGGTGGTAAAATGAGTGCAGAGGCAGAAGGTGGTCCTTAAGTGCCTCACCGTCTGTTACAGGTTCCCTCCCAACCGAACGAGCGGGACAGGGTCCACCATGGTGGCCGAGCTGGTCCAGTGCTACGTGGTGCAGCCGGTGACGGCCAGGCAACGGCCGACCGCCCTGGGCGCCGTCCCCGAGGACCAATCGCGTCTTCCAGGGCGGAGTGGACGGCGGCGCTGCTGCCTGCGGAGTCCAGTGCCCGTGGCCTCTGTCCTCCCCTTGAGCTGGCGGCGCGGGTCGGGCCTCTGGTCGCACGGTGTGCACGTCGATGCGAAGTCAGGGCCAGTCACAGTGAAGCAGTGGAGAGACATGCGAGTTGATTGTACTTCCCGTGGGAGAAACGGGAGCGGGCTGGGCGCCCCCACTCCCCGCCGAGGCCCGCCTTCCCGCTCCTACTGCTTCTCTTCCCACCGTCCTTCTCAGCCCCGCGACTTCCCTAGGACTTTCCTCTCCTAAGACTTGAATGCGATAAAAAAAAAGACACACACACACACACAAAAAAACGGACATCAGGGTTTTCTTTCCCCAGCCGACGTCACGTGCTCTCAGGTGAACACGTCCTCTTCTCCGGAGACGCAGCACTAAGGGTGCTGCCCCGGGCTTGTGCTGCCAGCTGTCCAGCAACTTCTTAGGGTTACATCTTCTCGGTCGTGACTCTGCCCCATAGCCGTCTCTGCCCTTTCGTTCTGTCCCCACTGCTGCCCCTTTGACATCAGTGCCCACCTAGTTTTCATCCTAAATTTTCCCCTTTGCCCAAAGTCTGGCACACACCTAGGAGGAAAGATGCAGAAGTATCTAAAGTGATCCCGCACGTGGAATCTATAGTGAGTTTCACACAAAGCTGACATACTTGTCCTCTTACCTTACACTTCTGCCCGAGGAGGGGACTCTGAGCCTCCTCCCGGAGCCCGGGCGCTGCTCGCAGTGCCTGGAGAGCAGCGCTCAAACTCGGAGCAACCCTGTGGGCGGCGCGGGCGGCAGCGGACTCAGCGCTGAGCCACAGTTCAGCTGGAAGCCAGCAGGTGGCAGCACGAGGCCGCTGTGGGCACCGCCACACCACCTGTTTGCTACAAAAAGTTTCCACACAGAATCTGTTGAACTAAGGTTTTATGCCATTTGATTTTAGGTGGAGAGGTGTTTTTTTCTGAACATCATGTAATAGTTAAATGTGTTATTTGTGAGTTTTTATTAGCTTGCCTTCAGAAAATTGTTATTTTAAATGTGCATGTGAAAAATTCATAATCGTGGACAATAAAAGCTTTATAGATAAAATCAAACACACTTAACATCTCATTTTTTTAATTATTTTTTAAATTATTTATTTATCTTTAGAGGGGAAGGGAAGGAGAAAGGAAGAGAAATATCAATGTATGGTTGCTTCTTGTGCATCCCCTGCTGGGAACTGGCCTGCAACCCAGGCATGTGCCCTGACTGGGAATCGAACCGCGATCTTTTGGTTCACGGGCCTGAGCTCAATCCACTGAGCTACGCCAGCCAGGGTCATTTTTAATTTTTTTAGTGCTCACTGCTCACAGGAGCCTGAAGCTGCGGGGGCCTCGTGGCCAGCATATGGCCCTGCCCTTCTGACCAGAGCCTCTTTGGGGGAGAGTCATGCCTCATCTGCTCATTTTCTACCTTCAGCACATCTGGTAGTAGGTTGTGAAAATGTTTGAGATGTGAATGAACTAATGACTCTCACGACAGCTCGTTTAGTAATTAGAGAAGGACACGTTCTGGAGTTTTATTTTTGTACAGAGGCCCTTCATGAAACTGGAAAAGACTGGCATCCATGCTGCCTGTCACCCACCAAACCCAATAAGCAGAGACGGGGAGTAAATCTTTGTGGGCGCCTGATTGAGATGGCCGGAGGTCTAAGACAGCAAGTTCACACCCTAACAGGCTGCGTGATACTCTCTTCCCAAGCCAGCCTTTTTATAACAGAACAAGGTGCTGTAAGGGGTTTTGAAATTCAGGGAAAATTAGCTTATAAGCAAACTGCAGTATTCTCACCCTGGGCAGTTAGCTCCCAGGGGCGGGGGTGGTGGTCTGCCTCTCCCCGGAACACAACGGCCCGATGCCTTCACTTGTCCCCAGGCAGTGGTCTTTAGCAGGGCCCCAGGAAGTCGGCTGACTCTCCCAGGAGCCAGGGTGGGCCTCGTCAGTAGTTTCTGAAGCAGTAGCTTTAACAGATGCACTACTTGCTAGGCTTGTAACTATTTACCTTAACTACAGTTTTCCAACTCTTGAGTCCCCTATTATTAGGACCACACATAATCAAACACAGTTACTGCAAATGTGTTACTAGACGAAGACCTTTCATGCAGAAGGAGAAGGAAGAGTTCAGGAAACAGGTGCAGTTACTCTCTTTTCTGGGAAAATGAAATCAGTATTGATATGTAATCAGTTGAAGAAGTTCCCTTTTCTTCCTTTTTTCCTAAACCAACAGGTACCAGGGACAGTTTGCAGCTTGTGTTTAGAAGGTCGGCACTAGGAGGTTTTCTTAGGCTCCACCGAGGAAGAAATGCCAATCAGCCGCACAGTCAGGCAGTACAGAGCTTTACTGGGATTTGCACACCCAGGCGAGGTTCCCCGGTCCACAGAGTGGGGCTGGAGAAGTCGCGCCCAAGCAGGGAATATGGCAGGGTTTTATTTTGGTTGGCTCTCTTTGTGGGAGCTGGGGATTGGTCCCCCTTGAACAAAGTGGCAATACATCATTGGTGGTTCTCCTCGGGCTCAAGTTGCTATGTGGATACCCGTTTTGGCAAAGCCTGCCCTTTCGGCTCTCTGGTTTGACCTCAGCCTTTTTTGGGTTGTAGTTCAGCTGCCATTTTGGATTGTAGTCCAGTGGCCATTTTGCCCTACCCCACCCATCCTGACATTCTGACCTCTTTTATAGGATAAGGGGCGCCCAGTTGGGTCTGGCTACTTCCTGCTGTCAGAGGGGTGTAGAGGGGAGGGGCTAGAGGCCCACCGTTTCTGGTTCATCAGGGAGGGGCGAGTAGGTTTTCTAATAGCAGGAGGATAAGGGAGGAGGAAGGGGTTGGGATTTGTGCGATCTGAAGAGTGGCACCTAATAACTGGAGAACACCCTGTCCTAGAAGCGGAATAGGGCAGGAGGGTATGACAAAGAATGAATGGGAAAAGGGAAAGCCATCCAGACTGCACCTTAAGTAGGGGGGTTCGCCATGGGCAAGACAGGGTCCCGTCAACCCCCATGACTGAGATCTGGGAAGGAGTAAGAGGTCTTGAAAAAGATAGTAAAACAGAGTAGGTAGCCCCCGTGTCCAGTAGGAAAGAGATGGACTTACCCACTACCTGCAGCGTTACCCTGGGCTCAGCAAAGGTGATGGGGGTCTTTGAGTTCGGGCCGCTTCAATCGCCTAGAAGGCTGAGAAGTTCCGGTGTGGCCAGGGAAGAACCCACACCTTGATGGGCTGGCCCCCACGTGGAGGCACCGGGGACCAGGCATCCCTCCAGTGGCCAAGCTGTTGGCAATCGGGGCAAGGCTTCATTGGTGGCCGAGGTTGAGGACACTGGGAGGCCCAGTGCCCTTCTTTGCCACACTTGAAACAGGCCCCTGGTGGGGTGTTCTTTGGCCCAGACTTAGGCTTTGCCCTTGTGCCGGTGTTTGCCGCCAGCCGCAGGGCCACTAGCATGGCTTGGGTTTGCAGGGCTACCTTTTGTTGTAGGCAAGCCTGGTGGGCAGCCTCAGCCTCTGCTTCCTGGTTACTGACTGCTTTCTGGGCAAGTTGGTGCACACCTGCTATCAGGCACTCGACCCTTTGGTCGCAGCGCCTCTGACCCGCCTGTCCTACCTGGTAGTTCCAGTCTGGTTCCGCCTCTGGCACGGCTTCAGCCCCTACTGGCAGGAGGGGATTGGTGGCGTGGGCTTGGTCTGCATGAGCCCTAGCTGCAGTCTGGATGTGGTCATGCTCGTCCGGGGTCATGGTGGAAGTTAAAGTGATATGCAGGTCATGCCATGTGAGGCCACAGGCCTGGACTAGGTATTGGAATTCTTTGATAGAATTGGTAGGGTTAGTGGAGAACAAGCCTAGGCATTTCTCAATTGAAGGGAGGTCAGTTAGTGAGAAGGGGACATGGACCCAAACGACACCTTCTGCTCTCGCCACTTCCCGGAGGGGGCAAATGCGGGAGTCTAGGGGCTCTAGATTCAGGCGGGAGTGGGTGTGTGAGCTGACGGGGGGAAGAAAGGTCTTCAGAGGGAGAGAATCCGGCTGAGAGGGGAGGGCCGGGGCTGGAGAAGCCGTTGGCAGAGCTGATGATAATGAGGAGGAGGAGCAAAATCTTCAGGGGAATCAGAGGAGGAGGGAGGTTCTGGGGCAGCGGGCTTAGGAGGCTGGATGGGTTCAGGGTTCCCTTGGTGAGGAGAACTTTTGGGGGAGCCGGGCGGGAGCACAAGGCCAAAAGCCCTGAATGTAGGACCTCAGACCATTTGCCAGTCCGTCTGCAAAAATTATCTAGGTCAGTAAGGGTAACGAAATCGAAAGTGCCTTCAGGAGGCCAGGTTTCACGATTATCGAACTGACATAATGACCAGGCTGCAGTGGATAGAAAAATCAACTGTTTTTGCTTGAGGCCAGGATCAATTGTTGGCAATTTTTTCAGGAGGCACCCTAGAGGTGACTTAGGGTCTGGTTTGGACTCCTGCCCCCCCCATTCCTGGTCCCACAGGAGCAGCAGATGGGAATCGGCGTCCCCCAACCCAGTCTGCTGATCTGGTCGGGTAAAAATGGGAACCTAGGCCCAGGGCCGTCTCCTCCGGTGCCTAGAGCCTCCCAGCAGGGGGAGGGCAGTCCCTCCCGGAAGGGTCGCCCCCCACGCAGCACTGCGATTTGGTGCAGAGCAGTCTCTCCCAGCAGACGGGGGCCCGGAATCAGAGTTCAGGGACCAGAAACTTAAGGGCAACGGCACTTACCCTGGTTCTTCGTCCGGACTGGTGGGGTGGCCGCGAGGGCTCCTCGGGGAGGAGGGAGAGGAGCGGTCTTCAGCAGACAACAACTCCTCCCGGGTTTCGGCACCAAATGTAAGGTTTTCTTAGGCTCCACCGAGCAAGAAATGCCAATCAGCCACAAAGTTAGGCAGGACAGAGCTTTACTGGGGTTTGTGCAACAGGGTGAGGTTCTCCCTCCGCAAAGTGGGGCCCAGGAAGTCCAGCCCAAGCAGGGAATGTGGCGGGGTTTATTCTGATTGGCTCTCCTCGTGGGAGCTGGGGATTGGCCCCCCGGAACAAAGCGGCAATACACCATTGGTGGTTCTCTTCCCACTCAGGTTGCCATGCGGATAAAGCCCGCCCCGCGGCTCCCTGGTCTGACGTCAGCCATCTTTTCCGGGTTGTACTTCAGCAGTACTCGGTCCTGTGAACTAAAAGTAGTATTGTGAACCCATAGTTTTGTACACTTTCCTCGGACAATAACTATGTGGACTTTTTAAAAATTCTAATTTTTGACACTGAGCCTTTATTGTATGGTAAAATACAACACAGTTTCTAAAAATATCTCCTGTGAAGCAGGGACAAGTTTGAAATCCTGTGTAGGCCCTGGCTGGGCAGCTCAGTGGGTTAGAGCGTCGCCCCCCCCCCCACACACACACCAAGGTTGTGGGTTTGAGCCCAACCCGGGCACATACAACCACCACTGGCGACTACACAGACAAGGGCAACAGCTGGATGTTTCTCTCTTCCTCCATCCCGCCCTCCCTCAGATCAATAAAAAGCAATTGTCCTATAAAAACCAAAATAAAATCGCTATGTGTAAGGGCTGTTGAACCATGCTCCACAGTTTTCCGTGACTTATTAGAGTTCAGGTCAGAGTCTGGCTCCCATGGTGTTTATAACAGAATGAGCGCAAGTGCGGGACCGGGGTCTGGGTGCTCAGGGGCATTTCTGTCCCCGCGGGCAGGGCTGACTGCTGAGGGCGGGACTTCTGCCACGTGCTGTG